TTTTGTTTCTGGCACCTTAATTTTTTAACACTAACTCCTAAACTTTGAAAAACTGAACATACAATAAGCTTTGTCATGCTTTATTGCAAAAACCAAAAAAGCAGAAAAATCAACAGCAAAACAAAAAGTACTCAAGACCAATTTCAAAGCTACTTCTTTTGAAACCTGTTAAAACTGGGCCAGGTTTCTTCTTCACTCTATTACAAATGGTAGCTCAAAGGCAAAACTTGGTAATATCATTTGGAGTCCAAAAACCTTCTGCCTCTTTGTAGCCACTTATTTCGATGCTTTTATAATCTTTACAGATTTATAAGGGAGCTCAGGTGCCCTAGTGGCAAGAAGCCGTGCTGCAATCCCAAAGGCACACAGTTCGAGGCCACTAGCTGCTCTGTGGAAGGAGGATGGGCAATCTCTTCTCATATGATTAACTGCCTCTGAAAACCTGCTGGAGGGTCAGCAGTGGGTCGGTTCTGACTCTACAGTACACAACGACGATGATTTATAATCTCTCAGGGGGCGGAAAAACCCTGATTCATGTTCAAATTCTGCCCCCTGCACAGGATTCATCACTGAATCGTCTATCAGTAAACACACGAGGATCAGAGGCTCAGGTTCAAATCTCAGCCCTGTTACTTCTTCCTCAAGTAGACCGGTCACTCAGCCCTCACATCTCTCCCTTCCCTTCTGCACAGTGGGGATTATGCCCACGGCTGCCAAGATCCAGGGCCATATTGTATACTGAGTTCTGGACACCAGCAGTGTTCACCCCAAATGAAAGATCACCACTATTATAGTAATTAATGCGTCCCTCTAATATCATTTCTAAAGAAAGACGAGAAAAGGGAGACTGAATCCAAGGAGCTGACTCCAACTGCATCTCCCCACTGTGAGATAAAATGATGTTGTATGTTGTTGAGCCAGAACCGACCCCTTGCTGACCCTAAAGTGGACTTTCAGAGGCAGTAAATGAACAGAGAGCGATGGCCCATCCTTCTCCCACAAAGCAGCTGGTGGAGTTGAACCAGAGCCCTTTGGGTTTGCAAGACAGAGCCTCAGTACTAGGCCACCAGAGCTCCCTGAGAGGAGTATGTTGTTAAGGGCCGTCGAGTCGTAGGCAACTCACAATGATCCTATGAACGAAAGTCCTCAACACTTGCCTGACTTTTGTCCTTTCTCCAGGTTTATAAGCTTTCCAGAGGGAAGCTATTGAGGAAGAGGATGCCACTCCTGCTTCCAAGCTTGTTTTAATCGGAGAGCTCCACCAAACACTGTCCCCCATGGGTAACCATTATCATATCTGACACATCAGGGTCACAGTGTTCGGCTTCACAGCAACCACAAGTTACCTCTGTACCGCAAATGGACACACCAGGGCTAAACGACCTAGAAGAATGACCAAAAACAATGGAAAAACAGGCCTGAGGGCTGTGGATTCAAAGTCACCCACCTTTGGCTTGGTAGCATCACTTTCTGTCCACTAGGCCAACTGGTCTCTATGTTGATGTTATTGTTAAGTGCCGTCGAGCCATAGGCAACTCATAGCAACCCTACGAATGAAAGTCCTCCACACTTATGTGTTGAGAGGACTATAGTATGTATCGCTCTCATATCCTTTAAACAAAACCTTGGACTCATTCATTAGCCATATTATTTCTTAATTTCCTAAAAGGCCACCAACTTCTTCACAGGTAAACGGAAACTGAAAACTCTTAAAAACAGGCATGTAGTCTGTCCCTTTGGTCAACAGGCAGCAACCAATTATCTCTGGGGCCACGCTGGGGACTCCAGTTCATACCACCAAGAGAGAAGAAGGTTCAACGCAAGGCACTGTCCAAGCAAAGGGACTTACAGCATTCGATGGGGTTGGACGCGGTTTGCAAGGACACGATCCTGCCGCTGGACTCAGGGATGTGCACCCGGAAGACGAGGCGTACCCGGGTGTTCTTTCTCCCGATGTCTGTCTCTCCTTTCCTCAGCTCGATGTCGGCATTTCTGAGCTTCAGGATCCCTGCACAGTCGATGCTGCCCAGAGTGGAGAAATCTCATTTATAACCAGCCAGCCAGGCAAGCAGCAAAGATCACCCCACAAAACAACCTTCCTCGGCCAGTCCAATTCCACAGCCCCAAGAAACATCTCTGCAGGAAGTGGCTCCAAGATTTAAAAAAAAAAAATCACAAAGTGATTAGTGAAACTCCCTACACACCATCTCTACAGAGATTTTTCCCCCCTGCCAAACTTTTCCACCCTTTTAAAATATCTCAGCAATTCAGAAAGGCAACTGGCAAAAATATAATATGGTAAGTTACGTAACAATAACTAGAGTCAAACTGAGTAGTATCAATTTTGATAACCACACAGTAGTTAAGTTTCCTTGTTCTTAAGAAATGCAAACTGAAGTGTTTATAAACAAAAGAATACATGTTTGCAAGTAATCCTTAACCCTTTCAAGACCTAATTAAGCTTTGATTTTTTTTTGAGGGGGATTGCAACTATGCATTTTCTGTAATGTAAGGCATTGTGAATGAAACGTGGGAGGAATCACAACATCTTTAAAAGTAATATAGGTTTTAATACAATTAGGATACACATGACCCCAAAGCACTGAGGTCCAGGGGTTAATGTGATGAGGCCCCTTTCTTCAGATCCACACAGTTTCACAGTTAAAGTGGACGGCACCATCCCACTAAGCCCCAGAAGTAGAACCCACGGGCCATGAAGGCATGAAACGGATAAAAAGTGGGGAGAAAAAAACGGCAATGTGTAAGAGGGAAAATAATAATTTTACAAATACTGTTAAGATACTAGACTAGTACAAACAACTGGATTCTTGAGTTGTCTGTATGATTTGGAGATTTTCTCTATGTTCTTGAAGTTGTTTTATAATAATCAAGTTTGTACATCCTAATACACTCACAGGGAGCTCTGGTGGTGGAGTCTGGAGCAAACTGCATGGCCAGCCAAGAGGCTGTGCATCTCAAAGCGTGGAACCCAGCAATGGCTCCGAGGGACAGAGAGGCACAGTCCCCTCCCGTGGCCGTTCACAGCCTTGGGAACCTGACAGAGGGGTGTCACGAGTCAGAACTGACTCTG